AAAAAATAAAAAATATAAATAAAAACAAAACTAAATAACGAGATATATGTTTCCCTGAACAAGAAGAGAACGTTTTGTGTCAAGACAAGAACATCCCCGTGGTCTTTGCCCAATGTTGACATCGCACCATAAAAACAGCCGTGATTGTTGCAGTATGAATCTGCACTGAATTCTTACAAAATGAAATATCAATCAAAAGCTGATTAAAAGAAGGGGATTTCAGAATCCCAAAGGAGGAATTTTATTCTGACCTGTCCTAATGGAAGCACAAAGTTGGCGCAGTAACAAAAAGGGCTACAAACTATAGACACACTAAAAATGTCTCCATAGGATTTCAATATAAATTGAATCCCTTGACATGGAAGTGCTTAGCTCCTGACAGACTCTGTTGGGGGCAGCAATCCCAGAGGGCAGCAAATCACAATAATACAAGGCTTCACGAATCAGGAATAGATATACTTAACCTTGAACCAAGCCAGCAAACTACTGGTACATCCTTCCTCAAGTGAATATTATGAAGCTTTTAATGCTCAAAACGTGATTTGGTCCCATCGACCACAGAAGAAGCCATAAAGTATCTTTATCCTTATTTGTTTTATTTCGCTTTGAGAAAGAGGATACCTTCATCTTAGTATTTTATGGTGCATTGATCATCGCCAAACATTGACGGACGAACTATTGTTATAATATTATCAAACGTAGGAAATTTAGGAAATGTACTCTAAAAATACCATTAAGTAGCGTAGTTGTGTTCAAAGGGGGAGTACGGTTCTAGAACGGTACCAAAGCCACACCGAATGACAGTACAGTTTTAATTTTTGCATACCATACCTTGATTGAGCTTCTCGGGCGACCACGAGAACTGCACACTTTCTGTATTCTACAACTTCTCTTTCTTTCAGGCTACCCAGAATATAAGCTTTCAAACTCCTGCGCCCGGAAGCTACTTACAGAACAAGGTCCTGCGTCTTTCGTCGAAGCTTGATATGGATGATGAGGTAAGACTAAGAGATTAGACGTGATGACTAACGCACGTATCCTATTTCTCAAAGCGAAACTAAACGAATATGGATTAAGATGATTTGTGGCTTCTGGCATAGCTATTGAGACCAATTAATAGCATTTTTTTCTCATTCTTGTTTGAGATTCAACTAATACAGGCCAGGTCAGAAATTATACTCTGGTGTGGTTTGCTCTTTCTTTCCTATCAAGCCTATATGTGAGGCAGCGTGGTTGAATCAGGCTCTTGTCAATTTTTGAGCATGTAGAGTTATTGGTTTCATTATAAAGCTTGTTCACTTGTCTTTATTTGGATGAAAAAAATATCCATCTATCTTGAACACAAGTCGAGATATTTGCAAAAGAAGGAGGCCGGGGTCACCTGTTTTCAGAGGTAAAATTAGTGAGAAAATGGTCGCCAAAGAGTAGTTATTTCCTTAGCTTAAGAGTCCGTGACAACTGAAAATTTACATTTTTTGTGTGCCTTTAATCAACGTTTTTCAGAAAAATCCACACAGGAATGAGTTCTTTAATGGACATGAAAGGTGTTGAGCCAAAAAACAAAAATTCGATACAAATTCACAAACCTGCGGAAAAATGCAAGTTTCTTCACTTTGATTATTTTGACGAGAGCCTGATTCCACCACGCTGCCTCACACATCGTTCTTATCTTTTTTCTCGATATTTTCTACCCTATCGAGAGACATGTCAATGAAACATGCCAACAGTTTTGTGACCTTTTTGTTTTACTGCAATATATTAATATCAATCTCTTTTTATTGTGCAATTTCTCCACGTTTTAAGGCTCAAGTTTTGTTTGTATATTACATATTCTACAGTCTCATCTGTGCAAATCTTAAAGGAGCCTAAATCTATTATTGCAAGTCTTCCACTTTGTCTTCCACTTTAAAAATAAAAGCCAAGTATTACGGCTGTTTCTTCACTCTTATGAGAGACGTCAAACCAAACACTGTCTTTTCTGACTACTGCAATAATTTAATGTGGGGGAGCTTGAAACTGAAAACAAACTCTTTTGTTTTTGAGGCGACCGAGTCGGGCGATCCCATCCGAAGTGGGCACCCCGTTTTAGTTGCTTCGCTTTTAAATAATTTCTTTCTTAAGAATGCTCTCTTGGTAACTTGAGAAAGATGTCATTCTACCACCACTCATCCCCCTCCCTTCCCCTTTTCCGTACTTAATCTCCTTCTCAGTTATCAAATCAGGAAGATATTGAGCAGGTGGAGATGAGAAAGAAGAAGAAAAAGAAGAAGAAAAAGAAGCCCAAACAGTCCGCGGGGGAGGAAGATGAGACCAAGAAAGACCCAACCACTGACGTAGCTTTAACCGAGGATGACAAGAAACAGGTGACCGGAGACAGCGTTTTAATCTATTTGATTTGTCTTTTGCTTCATTTCTGTCTGATTGAATCGCATTAAAATTTTTAATGCATTCATTTCCTTTATATTATGATGTGCTTTGAGTATGCGTATAATTTGTCACGCACGCACGCACACACACACACACAAACACACACACACACACGCACACACACACACACGCACACACACACGCACACGCACACGCACACACACACGCAGGCGCACACAAACACACACCCTTTGATCCACACACATTATATACTCACACACTTGGTATAATAAACTTGCACCCACAGACAGACCCAGGGCCACACATACATAAATAAATAACATGATTGAAAAATGGTGTAGGTTTAACGCTCCTACCAACGCTGTTAGGTTATTTTCGATGCTGAACCTCTGAGTTTTACCTTATCCGTTCGCCCTGGGGTCATTTTGTTGTATTCTTCACTTTTTAGAATACTTCTAGTACGAACATCTCTTTGAAACTTTCAGTATTTCTCAAAAAATCATTGTGACAGACCGCTATGCAAAGCGTACAGATCGGATTAATGAGTAAATTTCCTCTCTGGAAAGTGATGGCACAGAGTTCCCCACGTCATATGGATACGATACTAAAACACATCGTTCGGATTGGGTGAAAGTCCATCTCCGAAAGGACCGAGCCAAATGGGAAACTCGTGTGAAGTGTCTTTCCCAAGGACACAACGTCGGACCGAGCTGAGGCTCGAACCCCCGTACCCGC